TTTTGGACAAAGTCTTCTCCCAATGCGTTTACTTAACATTAGGATGGCAGCGTAGCTAAAATAATTCAAAATTTTCGTCTTCGCCTGGTAAATGAAAACGAAACAAAAAAAATTACCTGATCGAAATAAGTATGATGAGGACTGTGACACGATTGAAATGACAGAGGGTGCTGGGTGGCCGAGCGGTCTAAACGGTCTCAAACCAAACAGCTGGTGGTCTGGAGTTCAATCCCCACCAAAAAAAGCAAATCATCCCAAGCACCCCGGGTGGATGGGACTCGCTAGCCTTGGACGGCAACCTGTCTAAGAGAAGGCAAACTCTGAATTTAAACCAGGAGCCAGAATGATCAACAAATTGATCGTGGGCACCTCAAATATAAGAAGAAGAAGACAGAGAATTTTGGTCGGTGACCGTACGAAGCTAACTATTTCAGAGGCGAGCGTGAAACAAAGACAACATTTGAGAAAGTAAAAAAAAATAATTAAAGACAGTCAATGGCGCGCAACCGTATGTCAAAACTCTTGATGGCAAGAGCAAAATAGAGGTATTGAAAGAAATGTGAGCTACTATAACGAAAAACAACAACACATCTCGTGTATAGAGAAGTTTGTAGAGGAGTGTCTAGAGGAGCGTCTAGAGGAGTGTCTAGAGGAGTGTCTAGAGGTGCGCCTAGAGGTGTGTCTAGAGCAGGCCTGCACAACTCAAAATGTATGACGGGCCATAACACTTTATGAAAACACGTGTGCGGGCCAAAATAAAATAGGACAGGACTTATGTGGGCCAAAAGAAAATAGGACAGGACTTATGCGGGCCAAAAGAAAATAGGACAGGACTTATGCGGGCCAAAAGAAAATAGAACAGGACTTATGTGGGCCAAAAGAAAATAGGACAGGACTTATGCGGGCCAAAAGAAAATAGGACAGGACTTATGCGGGCCAAAAGAAAATAGGACAGGACTTATGCGGGCCAAAAGAAAATAGGACAGAGGGGAAAGCTATTAAGAAAATAATCAGAATAAATAATATTTCGTTATTTCGCGGGCCGCAAAGGTGGTGCTGGCGGGCCGTATGTTGTGCAGGCCTGGTCCAGAGGAAAGTCTAGAGGATTGTCTAAAGGAGTACAAAGTGGATAAAAATGGCAGCACAGATTCAACGATTGTTTTAAATATTTTTAATCCGTCAAACATAGATGCATATAAGAAAACCTTACGTGTCATATAGATGTGTTTAAGGGCAATTTTAATCGGTGGTGCAAAAAGAATATGGCTGCATGAATAGCATGTCAAAAGGATGTGTTTAAACACAGTGCATCTGGGGGGGGGGGGCAAGATGATCACCCAATTTTTTATTCTAAATTGAATAACATCACACGGCTAACATTGCAACAAAAACAACAAAAAATAGTTAGTAAATTTTAGTGATGATTTAAAAAAAAAAAAAAAAAAAAAAAAAAAAAAAAAAAA